AGAGGACAGACGCATAAAAAACTGACGTCAATTTGTTTTTTACAATAACAAGACTCCAAAATGGTCAAATACCAGAAATAAATGAGGGGAAAAGACGCCGTAAACTTGCCGTAAACAAAGATAAGTGAATTTTATTCTAAAGACGGGAACATTGTCAATCGGCTTTTCTCGCTTTTTGATTGGCTACTTAAAAAAGTATAGAAATTCTCATTGGTTAAAAAGTTGACAGTTTGACAGCTGAAAGTTGAACTTGAAAGCTTGCATAAATTAAAAATTTATCCGTCTGTACTCTTATTGATGATAAAAATGAGCCAATCAGCGCGCGAGAAATTAGACAGTTATTGTAAAAACATTCATTGCAGGTAAGCTCTATATTCTTAAATCTACAAAATGAAGTTTATTTACAGTACAGTGTCAACGCTTTTCGTCATTTATTTATATGAACATGGCGGACAAAAGCCAAACGTGTCTCTTCCCAGAGGCAAGTCAAGATGTGACGGGTAATTCAAATGAGGGCAAACAAAATCTTCAACTTTTAAAATTTAGACTCATCGAGCCAAAAAGTTCCCGAAGCCACACATGAATTAGAAAATGGTGCCACTTGCATAAATCAACCATTTTCAGAGCCTGCGGCTCGTGGTTCCACAGCCACTTTGACAATGTTATGATACAATTTATCATCAATAAGAGGACAGACGCATAACAAACTGACGTCAATTTGTTTTAATTTCGAAACTGGTTTGCCCCCGGCGATTGTCAGCGGAAAGCGCTTCAGCATCCTCCAAGAGCGATGTTTTGAAGTACGCAGTTGCACATGGCTGTTCTCAAAGCAGTGGATCAATCTGCGCAAGGTGTCCAGTAATGCGAGATCTTACTTGTGTTGGCTATGCAAATTCCTCTCCACTTAGTTTGTCATATGTTCTGGACTGCCTGAAAACGAATACACGCCACCACTTCGCAGAAGCTGGCGGGTAAACAGGGTAACCAAACCATATCTAGTTACCAGGTTGTCCGAGACGCTTTTCGCCAAGTCTGCAAGGTAAGTCACAGGAAAACAAAGTGCCATAATTCAACCTCTTGTAAACTGACAACAGTTTCTAGTGCTGACGGCCACACCTATGTCTCACTTTCGGATGTGTTTGGAAGACTCGCTTTATCATTTGAAAGGCAGTTGAATTATACCACCATAAGCCTCGACAACTTGGGAAACGCTACAGTGACAGAATCTAACAATAGTTTCTGTTCTCACTGTCTAGATATCCTGACCGCACTGTGCGTCTTTTCCACGAGGGAACATTTGAAAGTGGCGGATGTCATGAGCAGCCGTTTCTCTGGAACGTTTTTGCGATTCTTTTCGCACAACTTAGGATACTGGCCTGGGTTGATGAAACCAGCCACAAATGAATTCCGACTGAATGAAATTGTGACTCTTGCAAACTTGCAAGCCAGCATGGAATTGCGCTACGACTTGCAAACCCTTCTTT